ATCAAATCATCGAAATATTTTGTGAACTATAATAGCATGTTATTTTATTATTTAAATTTTATCAAAAGAAATAACCACTAATGTTTTCCATAGGTTAAAATTTTCATGCTTTTTTCGTAATAAGTTTAAGCATGGTTTTTAAATGGCGGTCATTTATAATTGTCGCTCCGTAAAATTAGTTATATTTTTTTCTTGTTTTTATAACAAATCTATATAAGACATTTTATAGACATCTAAGTTTAGATGAAAAAAAAATTATCTATGCACGATCTATTTTATGCATCTAATATGCATCTAAAACAGAGCAAAAATAGTACCTCTAGATCCAGACGTCTTTTTGATCTCTAATATACGTCTAAAATATACGTATCGGCAATAGATACAAATTGGACCAATTTTAGACGGTCTAAAAGACGTTTATTGTTTGCTGGGCTTGGGTTGTGTTATTTTTTTTGTTTAAGAAGATTTTAAACTTGTTCAGTTATGACGGCTAGGTTCGCTACAAATAATTAAAGATCGCAATTTAGATATAACGGTTGCTTTCTAAAAAAGGAAGTAGTTAGCCGACAAAAATTTACAATCTGTTTTAACATATTACTTAATAATACTTATACCCAGAGCCGGCTCGTGGGCATTTTTTAGTGTACGCAAAAAAAAAAAAATTGCTGCATCAATTTATAACTAACTTTTTAAATATATCAGAGAACAACAATCGGCTTGAATTAATAAAATTTTCATCTTCATAGTATATAAACTTTATACTTTTATATTCAAAATATTAGCTAAAATGGTCTATTTAAGTAAAACGAGTAGAGTGTTATATTCATACTGAAAAAACGGAAGCGAAAATGTTAAAATACCTCTTCAAATCTCAATAAAGAGTGGCTCTGTATACTTATAAAAAATAAAAATATAATCAAATTTTTGAGTTTGAAATAAAAATATGGAAAGTTCAAAATTATATCGTAACCTAAATTAGAATTTTTTTATTGTTTTGTTAGCGGCACTCTTCTGGCTTTTATTCAAGCTTCAGCTCCCTCATATTTAACGACTTTGTTGTTTTGCTCTCAATAGAAATAATCTAAAGTCCGTTCAGCTTTTCTTGAATGATGTTTAATTGTAAATAATTTTTGATCAAATTTAGTTTATAAAAAGATCTTTTGCCTTGACAGAAGGTGACTGGAATTGTTAGTAAGATTCTCAATGCAACACAAGTATTGGGGAATATTTCTTCAAGATCACGTGTAAATATAAATCTTATAATATCTAGTGGGTTTTTTTTTAAGTTTTTTGCGAAAGCAAACAAAGTTCAGCCATCAATTCTTCACCAGAAATATTCTTTTCGTCTTTGTCGGTTAAAATTTTTTCCAACAATAACAATCTCACAATATATCTTCTTTTATGTTTGAAATATTCGGATTTTTAAACAAGAACTGAAATGTAGAGATGGTTGTTCTAAAGTCTTCAAACGCTTCTTCATAGATTTAATGGCACGACTAAAAAGCATATAAAAGAAATTTTTTTTGAACTTTGATCTGGTATCTAAAAGAGGAACTTGGTTTGTTTCAATTTCGTCCAAAAATCTATTTTTTCTTCCGGACTCTTTCAGATAACAGATCGGTAAATTCGAATGTTAGACCCAAAGTTGTTGACTAAATTTTTGCTTTGGTAACAGACTCATCAAATTTTGTCTGGTTGTAATTGGATTCCGAAAATGCTTCAGTGGATTTTAATGCTTCAATGGAAATTTCGATGAACTTGACTGAATAATTTTGTTTGCGCATTTTATTTTGTTTAATACATAATGCCAAATAACATTTCCACTTATAAATTCCAAAGTATCCACTTTAGCAGCAATAGATTCAGCTGATAATTTGATGGTTCCGTAACTATCATTTTGGCAACTTTACGCAACGCTTTATAAACCTTTTGTATATTTTCCTTGATCGCTTTTACAGCTGTGATGTGACTCCCACCTTGTATCACCTTAAGATTTAACTGTAAGTGATAGACACTTCGATTCTAAAGTACTCCAACGTTTTGTAGAACCAGAAAAAAAGTTATAAAGGCTTTATAAAACTCTAAAATATGTCACAATTTCCAATCCAACTTTTACAGAATCAAAACAACAAGATTAAGTAAATGTGCAGTAAAAGAGACAAAGAGTGCTTGTTTATTTATATCTAAAAATTTCTTGTGTAAACCCTTGTTTTTGCCTCTCATATTTGCGTCATTATTGTATGCCTGTTCTCTCGTATCTTTAAGTGGAAGTTTTTTTTCATTCAATGAAGTCACAGTTTTTTGCTCTGATCCATGACCTGTAAAACTAATTTTTTTTATATAAGTTTCTTAGTTTATAATATATATTACATCAAAAAAATCAGATCTTTACAAATCTGTGGTATCGTCAATAATAATAAAATTAATAAAACTCCATTGGATGTCAACAACCACTAAATCGTTTTGTTTTTCTATTTTTGACTAGATATCGTATAATAAGAGTTAGCTGTTCCTGATGACTGGCATTTGTATGCAATTTGCAATAATAGAGTAGTATTTGACTTTCCGAATTTTTTTAAAGATTTCTTTTCTAGTAGCACAAGCCACTAACTGAGCAACTTCATCTTGGATATTTTTGCTTAAGTAATGGGTTTTGTTTATAATTTCCCATGCTTTGGAGACATGATATTCCATAATTGTGTCAAATTCTGCCATAAATTTTTAGGAAATTTCCATTGTTTTTTTCATACAGTTTATCAGATAATCCTCTAAATGCTATTTTTTTTTGATGCCATTATAATAATTATCGTAGTTATCCTTTTAAAAACATTATCCCAATGATCATTTTTAAGTTGTCTTTTTAACTCAATCCGATTCCCAAAGTTTTCAATATGATTAACACTAACTTCATGCCTCATTAAATTTTGTGATAAATGCCTCTAGTCAGCAGATCCTGTTCTTGCAAGGGAAATATCTGTAATGTTAAATAATTTACAACAGAAACAGAATATTTTAATCACTTTTTCTGAGTAAAATAGCCACGATCTAAGATGAATTTCACCATTCTAAATTTTATGGCAAAAAAAACTTGAGCTGAAGGAAGGATTATCACAATTTCATGGGTAACTGTTTAATTGACGGGTTACAGGGCCTTTCATAACTATTTCTTGAATATTATGGTTTGTAAAAGTTTGAGGCCAATCAGAAATTTCTTCCCACGTACAAAAAGGGAGCACGCCAATTAAGTTTTTCTCGATTCAAAACAGAGAATCGATTTTTGCTTGGTTCTCTGTTTTGGTTTGGTTCTTTACTTTCCATCTCAACTTCATTTTCTCTGATCTCGTTTGAATTGATTTCATATGGCAAAGTTTTTATCTCAGAATCATTGTTAGGGCAAAGAAATGTTTCTAAAATTAAAAAAGTCTTGGTTTAATTTGGTTTTTATCACGTTCTTCCAATTTCTTTAGCCGTTTTAGATAATACTAAAAACCGGACAACTTTTTTTTCCTTTATCCATTTTCTAGAAATTTAATAACAATAAAAATTAATAAAGTTTCTAAATAATGTTACTAATTAAAATTTCGTAAGACAATATTTAATACTTTCCTAAATATTGTAAAACATAATAATAAAAAATCATAAAAGTAAAAATCACTAACAGGTTAAAAAGACTGATCATAATAAGTTATTATGATAACAACATTGAAAACCCGCCAATTCAAAGAAACAAATTCTATTGGTACTAAAATATGCTGATTAAGCAAAAAAGATTCCTGGAATTTTTTTTACAGACATTTTTATAAGTAAATTGTTCACAAAAATTAAATATTGAAATATATATGTTATTTTTCACGTTTACAAATAGTAATAATTATTATGAGAACAACGTATTATTTTGGCAAATTTTCATTTAATGTTAATCTTACAATCTGCCACCCATAGAAACTTGCCGCCTGTGTGTTTTGCACACTTCGTACACGCCGCCAGCCTGCTTATACCAAACACTACCCTGTTATTGTTAATAGCACATATTATAAATAAATTTAATAAATTTGCGGGCGGCAATTAATATTATAATAATAACTTTACACAACCAATAAATAAGATTACACAACCAAACACAACACGTGTTTTTTTAAACCGCTGCTAATTTTCTAATTATACCGTCCATACTTGTAAAACTTTTTTTTTATTTCTTTAATTAAACAAGCATGATAGAAGTTCAAACCCATCAGGCAAAATTTAGAAAAAAGTTACGCTTGGTTTCTTTTGCGTGTTTAAAACCATATCAAACAAAAAGAATAACACGTCCCAAAAATGGTTTTCACGTGGTGTTATATAATATAATAAAGTATCCGTAAAGGAATGTGAAACCACTGGTAAAAGCAAGCAGCATTTAAATTTGTCTTTAAAACTTCAAAAAAATGTGTTAAACTCGAGTAGAACTTCCCGTAATATACATGTGTTTTTAATTTATGCCTGGATCATAACAAATACATGTCTTAACTGGTTTTAATTCCAAAAAAGAAGTAGATATGCCTCTTGGTAGAAACAATATGTAACTATCAAATAGAGAAAGACTTGTCATTTTGGCATTTTTAGCTATAATAATAAACATAACTTATTTCAATAATATAATTTATTTCAACGAGTTATTTTGCAGTGTTTAATAACCAATGCTTATTAGGTCAATTGGAAAAAATAAGAAAAAAAAGATAAAAAAATGAAAATGAGAAAGCTATAAATTTCGCAAAAATCGTTTAGTTTAAGAAGAGAAATGTTCATAATATAGAAGGATGAGTCTTAAAATACGGTTTTAATGCTTTGGTAGTTTTTATATGCCAAATTTAAAAAATCAACTGTCTTCTGCTTGAAATGCAAGTCTTCTGCTTGAAATGGTCTTTTAATATGCAGTTTTATATTTTACCTTACACTTAAAACTTAAAAAAATAAGTCCCTATTCTAAAATTCAATACTATATCGTTGTCTTTTTGTTTTAGGTTCTACACACGTTAAGCAGAAATGGAGCCAATCATACCATTGTTACAACACTTCTTAATACTAGCTGCTCATTTGGTATATACATAATTGAAATTCCAATGAAGTTATCTTTTCAAAACTCGAATGGAAACTCTTGGTTTTTATATCGAAAAGTAAAAAAAAATATATCTGAAAACTGTAAAGGATTTATTTTATCTCAAAAACACAGACAAAGTAATCATCAAAGAGGTGTGTTGTAATTTTTAATTGTTAATTAGCTATTTAATTTAATAAAATAATAATATGCCAACCTTTATACACTTGTTCTGAGTAAAAAGGAACTTAAATGAATATTAAAATGCAATCTGGCATAAGTGCACCGAATAAATTTGCAATCATTGCACAGTGGGCCAGACCATTACAAAAATTAGCAAAAATAGAAAACGTCTAAATATAATCATATTATTCATCTAACCATATGTTTTTGGGGTCAAAAAATCCATTTCTGACATCAAAATTAGGTTTTGGCCTGAGCTTGGGAACAAAAATAACCAAAAAAATTATTCCTTAACCCCAAAAGTAAGGGCAACGTGTTAATGATATAATTTTTGTTACAATTTCATACTAAATTTGAATAAATTAGCAGGTTTTGAATTTTATGAAACAACCTTTTCAGACCTGAAAAGCTTTGACCAGAAAAAGTTTACAATCCACTCACTTTGAGGAGGGTTGAAAATTTATTTATAATATTCATAACTTTCAAAATCTAAAATATTATTCCATGAAATTTAATACATGCCAACGTATTCAAATTTAGTAAAGTATAGTTAGTAAATTCATTCATTAACTGATTGCCCTCACTTTTGGCGTACGGGTAGTAACATTTTGGGGTATTTATGTTCCTAGGCTCCAATCATATTAGCCTAAATATACTTAAATTTTGAGTTTGCGCAATGTCTGAAAGTGTTAAATCTTTATCAACAAATAAATTTAATTTGCGCTATTGCGCAAATTAAATTTATTGCGCTATTGCGCTTATTATAAAAAATTTATAAGAAAGTTTTAATCCGTTGTACATTATACTAGATGATCCTCAGAAAAGTCGGGTCTGAGTCGCTTTTTATGGATTGCAACCTTTTTTAACAAGAAAGAAAAAAAATTTTGTCACTTTTTTCTATTGACAATTAATTAAATGTCATGTTAATGAAGTGTTTTAAGCACTTAACGTAAAATACACTGTCCTATTGAGGTATTACAAATAATTTGTTTCTTTTTGGGCGTAAAAACAAAAAAAAGGGGTGTTAAGAAGTAAACTATCCCAACGCAAAACTACGTTTTTTTAAATTACTTTTTTGAAAAGGTATTTTTTTATTTTTATTAATGAGTTTCACCTGATCAAAGTTCTGCTGAATGTAAATCAACTTGACAACAGACTCAGATTCAAGCTTTGTTCGTTTAGCTGTAACAATTTGCTCGCCTGTAACAGTTTTTGTTCAAATTTTGTTTTGCCAGTTGATGTAGGATTTATGTGAGTTATGTGCCAGTCGTAATTGGATTTCTTTATTGACAAGTTTTGTTATACTATTAACACGGTCAAAACATACTCCCATTTAAAAAAGCGTTTGTTAATAGTTTATTATTTTTTCATATTATTCGTTAAATGAACTATTTCAAGAGCTGTAACACACTCTCTTTTATAATATGGTTGAAAGATTTAGCTAATAGTGTAAACCATGTTTTTCGAAAGTTTTCCAATGTGGAAAACTTTTTTATAAATTTTTAATAATAAGCTTGTGAAGAGTTTTGTCAGAACAAAAATCAATCAAGTTAATACTTTTCTCCAGTTTCAAATATAAAGTTATGACCCAGTTAACATACTAAATTTTTTGGAAAAATGGGTAGACCTTTTGCTTTTAAGATTTTTAATCAAAGATTTAGTTTGTACCGGGATAGTCACGGATAAAATCCAAAATATTTCTGACTTTGATCACTCTTTCAAACATTATAATCACCGAATTCCAAATTGTAAAAACAGATTGAATGAGATTAGTATAAGTCACTAGGACAGCTTCACAGATTTGCTAGCTTAGACAGATAACAAATTTTTAGCCCCTTATTTTTGTCTTTAACTGCACTTTGAACAGTGGTGAACTTTTGCAGCAACTTTTTTTAATGCATCCTTAGCTGTTTATACTTCTTGGTTAGTTGCTATAATTATTAAATGTAAAGGTATATTATTATTAAACATAAAAGAGAAATTTTATTAAACGTAAGAGAGTTTAGTAAAATTAAAATTAACTCGCTATCTTTCTATGGCTTTGAAGTTGAGTTTCTTTGCAATTTCATTTAGTTTCATTACATTTTAGTCAAAAAGAGACAGCACCACGAAATTTAGGTCTATGTACCCAATATATCTCTGTAAATATTTAATGAGAGGGTTTGCCTGGTCAGGCTTTATTTATATTTCCTTGCCTACTTTAAACGCAGTTTAAGAAGATAGTGTAAAATCAGAATCTTCACCCCTGAATAAGCATAACACTTGCAACAAAACTTCCCACTATTGCAGTGTGATGTTTAACTGAAGTTCTTATGCCTATCCTGTAAAAGCTGTTTTTGTTAAACCTTTAATTAAAAAAACAATATATTTTGTTGTCGGTTTGAATAAAACTTTTTCCAATAATCCAAATTTTTACAAAAAAAATTTTTTGATATTAAAATTTTTTGCTAGAAAATTAAAAATGAAAAACGCGCTTTAAGTGCTATGCATACGGATAAAAACCATCCCGTCTAACCAGGATAAAAAAAACACTAAGATCTTGCTTTTCCTTTAAAACTCATTCAATTTTAATATTCCGTTCTTATGTAAAATTATTATCTTACCTTGGTGAGGTCTCGCCCATATTTTGGGCAAATTCTCGCAAATTTTTAAAATGAATCCATAGCTTTTTATACTTCTTGAACAGTCTTTAATCCATTCTTTAGAATAATCTGAAGGGAGTGGTCAAAGTAACAAAAGCCAATGTTGTCACATCATGTCTGCTCTGAACCAGATTTTGCATCGGCTGCGTTGTCATGAACAAGCACAATTTATGCCCCTATTTTAGTTCCAGGTATATTATGGATTTATCTAAAAGAAAAAATGGCTATCATGAAACAAATATTTTTATACCTTAAAGAGCATGTTACTCTTATTACTTTTACATTACTTAAATTTTAAAAGTGTAAATACTGTAAATAAGTAAAATATGTAAATAAGTGTAAACACAGATAAATTACAAATTTGATTTATAAATTATTTAATAAAAAGTATTTTATAATTAATATAAAAAGTATTTTATAATTATAACTAATTTTTAAATTATTTATTAAATCAATAATAAAAAGTTTAATTAAAGTTACTCTGACAATTGCTTTTCCAGTGTGACTGTCGTTGAACTAACAACAAACTTCTTTAACTTGTAGTCAAGTGTGACTGTCAGTGAAAAAAAATTTGTCATTAAACAATAGTCATTGAATAAAAATTGTTAATATAGTGAAGTGATAGGCTCATATAGAGATTGTAGTTTTGAGATTTCCAGGTGTCTGTAAAAAATCTATATCCAGGACATGATAGCAATTTTTTTATTATCAATTTATCAACAGCTTGCTTAAGATTTGCGTAGAGAAGTGGTAACGGTTTCTAAAAAATATTGTTTTGGACTTAGAAGTTATTAAAAACATTTAAAGTGTCATTAATATTCTCTATTTAATGCTCTTAATTGTTATTATTCGAAATTAAAAAACATTATTTGTAAAGCAAACATTTTACTTGAAAAATTATGTTTTGAACTTTAGCCATTATTTTTAGACTTATTATTTTACCTTGGGATTGTTTAAATGAAACCGTTTTGACTAGGTTAAAAACGCTATTGCTTGTTACCGAAAACATCATAACTTCTATATCAGTCTTAAGCTGTGACAAATCTAATTGTTTGTATTTAGTGTATTTGATATTTGAATTTTTGCATCATACCTTTAGCTTCTTGATATTTTTGCTAAAAGCTTCAGAATTTCATTCTCCAAACTCTTCTTTGCAGTTACCCTGTGTATTATAACTCTTTTCAAGTTGATCGTCATCTTCTCTTTTTTGCTCTAACTTCGTTTGCCTAATATGCACCAATTTCATCGTGTGAGCCACCTGAATGTAACAAGCTGTTCCAGAAGTAGATTCGTCAGTAATCTTGTGCTCCTTCTTGCAGCTAATAAAGAAAAAATCTGCCTTAGTTCTTGATTACGAGGTCGAATTTTATTTTAAAATTTATATTTGTTATTAAATTACAGTTTTACTAAAAAATTAAATCACGCTATTTATAACATACACATGCACACACCTATATACATAAACATATTATAACACTATAACTGACAAAGGTTTATAACATTAATTTAAATTTCATCACATACTAAATACATTACGTATTAAGTGCATCTTTAAGCTTATCCGGAGTTATTTCAAGATCGTTCATGACTGAGTCTTTTTTTTCTTGATTCGATTTATAACATTTTTTTCCAGGAGTTATTTTATTGGCTAGTTTTTCCCCAATTTTTATTAAATAATTATCAAATTTCTCTGCAATATCTATTGCTTTAAAGGCTACTTTATCACTCTCATCTGTTTTTAAGTTTTGCGAGGACACTTTGGTAGCATCTTTTATTTCCTGTTACCTTTTTTATTACGCTCATTGTTTTTTTGGTGTTACCGCAATAATTTTTCTAATAACTTGTAATAATAGCTTGTTTTTTTTGAAGATATATATTTTTGAATAGACTTTTGTATTGTTTATATATCTTTTTGTTTTTATAAGGTTTTTTTTTCAAGAACATTTCATAAAGTACATACTTTATAGACAAACTTAACGGAAATATAAATAAAAACTTAGCAATATTGGCCAATATTTATGCAAAATAATATTTCCAAAGAGAAGAAATATAAAAACATTTGTGAGAAATAAAAAACATATTATTCTTGAAATAAAACAAAAATATAACCTTTTTCTGTAAAAAAAAATATTTAAAAAAATATATTTAACATGAAAAGATATCAAAACTACTTATACTAGCAACTTAAATAATAACATTGCTTCATGTTTATATAGCTATTAGTAAATGGTATAAAGATTAACAAAACTTTGTTTTGGCATTTAAAATCAACATACAAAACATTTCTTATATTTTGCTATGTAGAAACTTTCAAAAGTTATCATTTAGAA